TATTACTGGGTTTTACCCATTGGAGCCAAGTTCCCTTCTCCAATCCTTTCTTCATCCCAGTCAAACACTGATTGCTTGTCAAAACAAATCCTTTTTTTTTTGTATTTTAATTATAGCAATTTCAAGTAATAAATATTATTTTGTTTAAACCAGGTCTTTAAAGTTTTTGGGTCATAGTCCACAATGAGAGTTCTACTAAGACCCGCGGGCCTAATGAGACCTCCACTAATACTCGTATTGGACTTCTGCCATCCATGGCTTGAAATGAAAAAAAGAGCTTCTATAAATGAAATTTAAGTTGTGAAATAAGCTTTCTAAGAGAAACAATTCATGCAGAAAATGCTGTAGTAACCTTATGTTTCAGTAATTTAAATAAATAATAAAAGGCTTAGCGAACCCGAAGGTTCGATGCCGACACCACCAATCGCTTATTACACACCTCCCTCCACCATTCGCCGTCCCAACCCAGTCCCTTCAGATCGGCTTTAATGCAATCTTCCCATCTTCGCCTCGGTCTACCCCTCGGACGCTTACCATTCAGTAATTTACTAGATATTATATTTTTTTAAATTGTACTATATCCTACTCATCACACTTGCTGGTCTGATACATGGCTGGACCTGTTCATCATCGATTCTGCGCAGAACCTTTTTTCCTCGTCCCAACTACCTGTTCCTTTCCTGTCTTCACATGACCTCATCCAACTATCATACAATATCCAGACCCCTGCGATCCTTCCTAAAACCATAACCTTTCACAATATAAATTCCCTAACCCGTGAAAGCATCTTACCCGATATTGAAATCCTGAATTGGAATGATGTTTACACCAGCTCCTCAATTGATACCATGGTAGATATCCTGACTTCTAATCTCCTCCATATCCTCAATACCCATGCCCCACTTAAAACCTCTACATTCTGCCGCCAACCTGCTCCTTAGATGCGTCAAGAAATTCGAAATATGCAAAAGACGTGAGGCAGCCCGTAGACGCTTTAGAAGAACCAGGCTTGCAGATGACTACGAAGCGTTCAGGGTACTCCGTAACTTGACGCAGACAACGATCAGGTAAGCGAAAACCGATTACTTTCATGAAGCCTTCTCCTCAGCTCCCGATTCTAAATCCAAATGGCATTTACTCCAAAAGCTATCTCTTTGCAAATCATCTTCTTCCATAGCTGTCCCAGTCTCTCCTGATGCCTTAAATTCCTACTTTTTATCCTCCTCCTCTAGGAATATTTCTCCCGCCTCTTCTTATATTCCTGTATCATCTGCATTTAATAGTGACAATTTTTATTTTTTCTACATCACTCCTAATTTCCTCCATAATGAAATCCCAATCCAACTCTACAGGAATTGACGGAATACCTGTCAAACTGTTAAAATTATGCCTCCCTGAAATCCTTCCAGTTCTTTTATTCATTTATAACTTTTCCCTTCAAAATTCTGTTTTTCCTACATCCTAGAAAAAAGCCTTAGTTCGTCCAATTAACAAAATCCCTAACCCTACCTCTCCAAAAGACTATCGTCCAATCTCCATCCCCTCAAATCTGTCAAAACTCCTCGAAAGAATAGTCCAATCCCAAATTTCCAATTATCTCGAAGAGTTCAAACTTTTAGATCCTCTCCAATCTGGCTTTCGCCCAGGCTTCTCCACTGAATCTGCTTTAGCTAAAATCACAATTGACATACATACTACAATTGACGAAAGAAAACTGACTCTATTAGTACTTCTGGACTTCTCCAAAGGATTCCACTCCTTAGACCATTTTATTCTCTTCAATAAATTAAAATCTCTATCCTTTTCCAATAGTTCTATCCAATGGTTCCAATCCTTTCTTTCTGACAGGACTCAAGCCGTTAGTATTCCGAATCAACCCTTATCTTCTTTCCTCACTTTGTCTCATGGAGGAGCCCAGGGTTCAAGCATTTCTCCTATCCTTTTTAATTCTTACATCAATGAACTTCCTAGTTCAATCCACCATTGTTCATACCATCTATATGCTGATGACTCCCAAATTTATTTTTCTTTCCGCCCACTGAGTTATTAGAAACGTTTACGAATATTCAGAGAGACCTAGATAGGATAAGTGCCTGGGCAAGCTTGAATAAATTAAAGTTGAATGCAACGAAAACTCAGGCCATTCTTATAGGTTCCAACTCCCTCCTTAGATCCATTTCCACCCATCCTTCCTTGATTATTAATGACCAACCAATCTCCTTCACCTCCTCTGTAAAAAACTTAGGAATTACCACTGATCAAAACCTATCATGGAAACCCAATATTGCTCAAATCTCCAGAAGGTCAATTGGTACTCTTAAATTATTTCATCGTTCTCGTCAGCATCTCCCACAACCTATCCGCAGGCTCCTTGTTTCCTCATTGATTTTCCTCTACTTTAACTATGGCTGGGTGGTATACGGTGGCCTCTCGTTGGAGCTTGAGGACAGACTGAAGAGAATCATGAACTGTTTTTTAAGATTCGTCTTCGGCACTTCGAGATGGTCTCATGTGTCCCACCTATATGCCGAGTCAAAGTGGCTCTTTCCCTTTTCCCACCGCCTATACTTCCTTGGAAATTTCTTATACCAAACAATCAACTCCCAGCACCCTTCCTATATCTGTTGTCTCCTCCAGCCTAAACCCTTAGTCCACTCAATAAAAACGAGATCCCGTGTTCCTGACCTCTATATTCCATTCCACAGGACAAAAACCTATGAACGTTCCTTCTTATCCCGCTCCGTCTCCTACTGGAATTCTTTGCCACATAACATCCGTCATGCCTCTTCCCTGTCAACTTTCAAATACCTCCTTTTCCAATATCTCCTTACATCCCAAACAGAAGATTTACCACCATAAATTTCATTTTATGAACTGAATTTGCGTGAAGTAAATAGTGGTGCCTACTGTTTAAGTTTTAACATAAAACAGCAATGATCTTTGTCACCTAGTTTGACTATTATTTTTACTATTTATTTATTTTTCTCTTCTCCTCAGGTTGTGCTTTTTCTTTCGGGTATATATGTTTATATTTTATATTTTTGTCTTTATGTGTGCCAATATGAGAATGTACGTATAAATAGTTCCTTTTATTTATTTTATTTTTTTCCATTACACCACAAGTATCCTAAGATTTTATTTTATCTTAGTGTCTGCATATTATTATATAAACCACTGTAGACATTATTACATTTTGTATTAAGTTAGTTTTCTATTAGATAGCCTATTGTTTATAAATTGTGTAGTTATGTATATATAAATATGTAATTTCTCTTCTTTTTTTTTTTCATCACAATTAAGTAATTTTGAGAAGAGTTTATGTTCATTTGTATATATATTTTATTTTTTATTTTTTACTGGTTACATACTTTTTAAATAATGTATATAATATTAAAAATTTTATAAGTTAGTTTTTGGCCAGATTTGTATTTTACTTTGTATTAAATCATCATTGTTATTCTAAAGGGACTTAGTCCCAGAATAAAGTTTAATTTTCTATTCTATTCTATTCTATATTACTTGAATACAGCATCCTCCTTAATAAACTGCAACATCTTCCTTTATCCAATAGTGTCCTTCGATGCTTCAAATCTTTCCTTTAAAATAGATCCCAGTATGAAGTCGCCCAAGGTCAACCTCCTTCTAAGACACTTCCCCTCTCCTGCGCCGCCCCTCAGGGTTCCTCCCTATATTCTACTCTGATTGCTACTTACATTAATGACCTTCCTCTCCAGATCCATCACTCCATATCTATGCTGATGATTTCCAAATATACCTGTGTCCTTCCCTCCTTCTGATCTAGTAGTAGCCACAAAAAAGAGGACTTAAATAGAATCAGTGACTGGGCGGATGCGAACAAGTTAAAGTTAAATGCCAAGAAGATCAAGGCAATTTTGATGGGCTCTAGTAACCTCCTTAAAACTGTTCCTGACATACGAATCCTGTTCCTACATGATAATGCCATCAAATTCTATCCCACCATTAAGAACCATGGAATAACCTTTGATCAAACCCTTTACTAGAAAAACCATATTATCTGCCATGCCTTTCCCATTTTGAAATGAATGAATTATTCTGCTATCTATTTCCATTTGAAACCCCTAAACTTCTGATTACTAACTTAATATTTCCTCACTTCTATTGTTGTACGGTATATGGAGACATCTTCGGAGATCTTGAGAAGAAACGTTTGATAAATTGCCTTGTACAATTCAAGTTTAAGATTCCAAGGGACGCCTCCGTTTCCCATTATTATGAAGAGCTGAAATGGCTTTATCCTTCCTACCGACATAAGTATTTCCTAGCATCCTTCCGCTTCCAAATCATCCAATCCCAACGTCCTTCAAACATCTCCGAGTTACTTCAATTCAAATCCTCTGTTCACTCCCGCAAAACCCGTTCCTGGTGTTCAGATTTGTGTACAAGAGCCCACCGAACCGCTGCTTTCGACAGCTCTTTCATTATTCGATCCATATCCCTATGGAATTCTATCCCATCCTTCATCTATCGCTGCAATACCCTCTCCACCTTTAAATCCCGCCTGTTCAATCACCTCTTATCTGTCCAGTTCTCATCAAATTGTAAATAGATGTAAATATGTATATAAATAATTAGTTTGTTTTAAATACTTTAATTTCATTTTTTTCCCCTGAATTGAAGTTTGAAGGTAAATAATATTCTTTTCTTTTATTTGTACATTATATAAAACTGTTTATTTTCTGAGGCTCCAAAGCCCATATTTCTATCTCTGTACATTATTCTAAAGAGACTTGACCCAGAATAAATAACGCATTATTATTATTATATAACCAAAGAAACTTTCGCAGAGCGGATCAGAGATGCTTGCCAGATCCGACATACGGGTCATAGTATAAACACCTCTGGTTTAACCAACACTAGATCAACACCAACTTTTAGGAACCTACGATATTCTTTTAAAACAATTATAAAAATTAAAACACTGTACAGTTATATTTAATACTATTAAATCATTTACATACCAGGATCTACAAAGAAATGAATGGTGCCAAGAACACCCAACTCCAAAGAAAAGGCTGCAAGAGCAATTTCAGCAGGATAATAAATATGATGATCAGACTTATAGAAATAGTTAGCATGGCACACAAAGAACTTATGAGTCTTCAGAGCTAGAAATTAGAAGAAAGTTTTATAAATTCCTGCGATTTCAATTTATACTTGAAATTAAATACAACAATAGATCACAAAATACAAAATTTTTTATATGTAACTTATTCTTTCAAGTACTATTGACATTATGTTCATTACAGTACTATTTATAAATGTTTCAACTAAGGTTATAAAAGGCTTTACCAATGTTTGAGATAAGTGTTTCAATATTCAATATATTGGCTTGACAAGGTCTAACCTCAACTTTGAAAAAAATGAGTTTGAAAATTTAAAGTGCTAAATTTTTTTTTCATTTATTACAAAACTTATCAGGTTTTTTCTCATTACTTTGAAATGATGAAAATTAACATTGGAAGTTGTTTTAATAATTAAATAGCCAACCTATGATTTTATACTGAATTTTTCTAAATACAGTTTTAGAAACTAGTCATCGACAAAACGAAATTTCCACTAACTGTTTCTAATAAAGATTAATTACATAATAAAGCATAATTTGCTCTGATTAATCTATTCAGAAGCAAGTTATTGAGCAGGACCAATAAGATTTGGTTTTGCGAAACTCTAATTAGACCACCTACATCAAGATGACCCAGATATTGGCAAATGTTTATGATGTATGAGTAATAAAAAAAAAATTTTAATTTAGTAAAATATGTAAATATCTACTATAATGAGTTATAATATAATTGTAATTTAAAAACTTAATTTTCATAATAATAACTTTGAGAAAATTCATATTTATATACGTAAAATATTTAAAGATTCAATTTAATGTCATATATCATAATAGGTCTTATTAATTTTGGTTGTGTAAATAACCTACAGAAATTTAAAAGTAAATGATTTGTTTTCGCGTGAATAGCCTTCCGCTTTTATATCGGGGATTGAGGTTATTTACACTCGTGAATTATTAAAACAAATCCCCAGCACTGGATATCGACTTTTTGAGGGTGTTTAACTGTGATTGGGAATTTGGGATCTATTACCTTTTGTGACACTGAGTGAGAAGAACTAATATGAATATATATATGAAATGTGGGACTTAGTAAACACTTTGAATGAATTGACTCACCTGGTTTGTTACACCCTCAGGTGTACCTATGAGAGTTGATAGCTATGGTTATGGAAAATGCAGTTAAAGGTGAGGTGTACCAGGACTTATCTACTTTATTTGATAGATTAGAAAGCCATTTAAGGGCATTAGAGAGTTTACGGTCATACAAAAGAGAAATTCACTGATTTTTGCGCCCTTTGGTAGTCATTTCTGCCTAAAGAATTATTGCGCTTATGGGAAAGAATTCTTAGTCGACACGAAGAAGTTTTAGGCAGTGAAAACTCGAAATAATTTAGAAAAATTGATAAATTTTCTTAGAAATAAAGTTTACACAGAAGAATGTATTAATTTAGCTCAGAAGAATTTAGGGTTTCGAGAAGAAAATAAAATTTAATTTAATTCATTTTCGTTTTCTTTAATCTTATTTATATATTCGTTTTCTTTATCTCACTTTTCACATAGACCAATTATACTCCATTTTTTTCCCTTAACATTAATTATCTCAGCATTATGCTACCTCCTTAATTTAATTTATTCTATGCTACATTATTATACCATTTTTATCTTTATTTCATATTATATCACATTATACTTCCTCTTTATTTTTAATTCTTTTCGTTACCTTACATCACTCGTTTCACATAGATGATTAATACTCTATTATTATTTAATGTTTATTAACTCTACATTATACCTTCTCCTTAATTGCTTTAAAAATAGGGTACTTGTTAAATAGCAGGTCGGATCTGATTGCTATCTGCCAATGTTTATAACCTTAACACTGATAATTCTGATAAGGCACTGATAATATCTTCGTATTCATATTTATTGTATTATATTCATATAATTGAAATTATAAACAAAAACAGATGTAATAATAAAAAAATACTTTTATTTTACAAGATATATATATATATTAAATAGACCAAAACATTATACATATATATAAAAATAAATGAAATAATAAAAAAAAACTTAAACAACATATCTACATATAAAAGAAAAACTATGAAGACTACGAAGAACATATATACATATAAAAGAAACAATATAAACACTATAAACAAAATATGTACATAAAAAACAATTTTATTTTAACTTAATTTATTTCGGTAAGGAAAATAGTTTTATGCTATTTAAAAAAGCAAGGAAATAGTTAAAATATGGGAAATAGTAAATTATAGGAAATAGTTGAATTATGAGACCACCCATAAATGAATTTCAAAGCCGTTAAAAAACAAATCCTCGACCCCTCTAACCACGTTCCTTTCCTTACAGAAATGCTTTAGTTACAAGTACAAAACCATCTCCATTTCGTCTTCCCATCCAACTTCATTTCATGACCTTCATCACAATATTTCACCTTTGCAATTATCCCGGCGTCTTGAAAATATTTGATAGCCACTTCTTTTGAAGACGGCAATGCCAACAATGTAACAGCATCCATAATTTTACGAAAATAATAGTAACTCACAGCTTACACGAGGAACAAAAAATAAACAATGGAATAACTTAGGTTAGATAAGATAAGAAGGGAGGTTGTGTGATATAAGATTAGATAACAAGGAAGGTTTCGACCATACCAGCTATTTAACAAATACCAAAAATAGATTTACTCACTTTCAGGTTTCTTTTTTCTTTAATCTCGTTAAAGAAATACATTTAATCTCACGTTTCACGCAGATCAAGTATTCTCCATTATTACTTAACATTTATTTAATTTTTATTATCTCTGTTTTATACTATCTCCAGATTATTTCCATCCTCTTTCAATTAAACTTTCATTTAATAATTCATAATATTTATCTATAACATATCTGTCGTCCATTTTATACACTTCCGGTACTTTAGTTCAAAAATCTCTCAACTGTCAGAGATGACGCAACAATAAAGAAATATATAATTCGAATCCAGCTGTTGGTGTCCTTTTTTAGAAATAATATAATTTAATTTTTATGATGACTTAGTTATTTTTATGATCATTTTCAGGTATTTTGCTTTTCAGTAATTTGCAAATATTCAAGACAGTGAAGTGATACGGAATTGCCACTCTAATTTTTCATTGCCATGAGGGGCTGAGAATGCATACGTCCTGGTTATTAAAAGTTAAATAAAAAAATAAAATCCATTTTTGAAAGCTAAGATCTTGCAGAGTGACTCAAAATAGAATTTTGAACAAATTTAAGAGGGAAAAAAAATTCTTCTGAACGTCTTTTTGGATTTTGGGACTTACCATCTGGTAGAAACACTTGAATGAGGTCCCACAGTCAAAGGGTTATAATTTGTCTTAAATTAATTACACATGATTGTAATACATAATTTGTTTTAGAAACTATGGCTAAAAGTAATTTTTTAAATATTTTTTTAGCAAAATCGACAGAACTTCTTAATAAAATTTTTAAAAAATCTGTTAAACCTTTACTTGAAAAGTTGCTAGTTCCTAAAGAACTGAAAAATTAACAACAATAAAAATTCCACTGATACTGAAACTTTTTGTAAATAAAAGTTTTTTTTTCATTTCAAGCCATGGTTATAACCAAAATAGTTGAAATAAACAGTTTTCACTTACATGTTCTGATGTCAAGATTTGCGACAGTGTTTTTAATAGTTGCTATCATAAGATCACGAGCTTCATCCAACTCTCTCTTTCCAGCATCTACATCGGCATAGCTAATGCCTAAAGAAGTATATTTTTTTGAATTGTCTTCGCTATTTTTGGAAACACTCGTTGATGCCTTGTCATTATATGGTTTACGTTCTTCTGGGGTCATGTTCTAAGAAAAAAAAGAAAACTGTAAACTATTGAAGGAAGTTAGTCGACTGTACTACATAGCACAGGAGATAAATAATCAGGAAGCAGTAATTTTGGAGAATTTTTATTGTTGCCCGAACTAATTAAAACTAAGGGGAGTTGAGTGTCTTTCATCATATATTACAAATCCTTGAATCTGTGATTGTAAAAATATAAAAAATGACAGCTTCCTAATTATTTATCTCCTGCAACAACAGTAAACAATACAGATAACATTCTATTATTTTTGAAGTATAGTAAATAAATGTTTAAATACAAAAACATTTTATTGTAAGATATCAGTAATGCTTACTTTTAGATAAAGATAAAGTGGTACATTAACTATTATTATTATTATACGGCTCTACGACCCACACAACAAAGCCTTCCCAGATATCATGCTTTGGGTTAGCACACAAATACTTTGTTTTATCCGTGTTTATTAGGAGCCCTATACATGCTGCTGCTACTTCCAGAGCTTCAAAAGCCTCCCTGGCCTACCTCCAGTGTCCTTCCACTAAGGTCCAAATCATCCGCATATCCAAGCAGCTGAACAAGTATGTTTAGAAGTTTACCTGTGGTCTGAATACCATAGTTCCTTACGGCTGTCTCAAGGACCAAATTAAATACAAGACAGGACAAACCATCGCCCTGAAGGACTCCAGTTCCTATGTTGAAGCTTCTTGAGAGATCCCCGAACATACGCATGCACCACAGGTGACCCTCCATTGTCATGCGTATAAGTCTTACCAGTTTTGGAGGTATCTACATATCGATCATAGCCTTGTAGACTTCATTTATGTCTACATGGTCATATTGCTTGCTCGAAGTCCACAAATACATGGTGAGTGCTAACTCCATACTCTCTGGTTTTCTCAAGAAGCTAACGGATAGCGAAAATTTGATCCGCCGTCGATCTGCCTGATAATACCACTCTGGTATTTTCCTTTTTTTTTTTTTTTTTTTTTTTTTGTTTTTTTTTTCTTTCCTCGGCCCAAGACTTCCACTAAAACCCTATACTGCCCCTATTGTTGTATTAAAATAGAATGGAGATATGGATGTAGATTATTATTATTTAATTATTTATTTTTAAAAATCTATTTGGATTCTTCAATAAATTTGAACAATGATTTAATGGTATCCCTATCTAGATCAGCCAACCCTTGAAGGAAAGCGCTACTGTTTTGGATGAGGGGATATTTAATCCGGTATTTATCATATCTGCTGCATTTTAGAATAATGTGCAATAGGTCCTCAATGGACTTGCATGTCGAACATTTATCATTTTTTTCAACTTTAATTAATGACAAGCCGCGATTTGTACGACCATGGTTAATTCTTAATCTTGTAAGTAAGACAATTTCTTTTCTGTTTAGCTTAACACAAGTGTTAGAGAACCATGGGCGTAGAGAGGTAGTGTAGCGCAGGTTGGATTGTGAAATGATCTTTACCCTTTGAACCTTACACCCACGCATAACTATCTTGCCATTCACTAATAAAGTGTTTTTTCGTCCATCTACAAATTTCCTGTAAAGGCAGTTTCGCATGTTCCGTCCTTCCAGAACACCGTTTTGCTATTATATCAGCTCGTTCATTCCCATACAAACTCAGATGACCTGGAACCCATTGAAGCTTAAATTTGTTTTTTGTTTAACGATGAACTTCTTCTAATATATTATTTATTATTTAGGTACGATGAAATATATTGTCAATGTATGTTTTTGAGTGAATAGCATACGGAAGCGGAATCAGTTAGAATTACGACTTTTGTATTCTTATATTTTCTGTTGGCTATTTTGAAAGCTTCAACGATGGCATATAATTCAGCACTGTATATGCTTAACTTTGTAGGGAGGTTTATGGATGTATCCTTGTTAAATTGAACATCATACATCCCGACAGCAACTTCGTTTTTATCAAACTAATCATAAACATTAATAAAACTAATATTTTGAATTTTGCCCCAAAGAAATATATTTGGAAGATGAACTGAATGATACAGTCAGCATATACAGTTATTTAGGTGTCCATTTTGGTAGGTCTGGTTTGTTTTTGCAAGCAGTTAAGAGAGAAATCTGAAAGTCAAACTCGACAATAGGCATTGTAATAAGCATTTGTTCTAAGGCCAAATTAATTCCTGGAAAACGAAAGAAAAGCTGAAAAAAGACATCATTAATACAGCTTTGCTATATTGTGTCCAGATATGGAGTATCCAATACATAGACCTCTTAGAAAAGGTCAACAAAAGTGTTTATAAAAAGACATTTTTATTTGTAAATCCATCCTAGACTTTTTAATACGCTCTATTCGTATTGGTGTCAATGTTATAAAGTATTCCTTGAATTAGTTGGTTAGGCTTGTGGAAATGGAGGAATTTAGATATCCTAAAATATGATTCGAAAAGCTAAGAACCAAATGTTACCAATATAATCCTGCTCTATCGATATATAATTGGTGTGCTCAGCTGAAATTATTATTAGATACTATAGAGGAAGGCGATTTAGTTTATGAAACCAACCCAGCCATAATTAGAGCTAATATTAACATGATATTAAACAAATATAAACGACATTTGCAGGACGGTGACAAGAAAGCATTGCATAGTTCAGCTTACAGAGAACATTTGAACCTTTTTTTCTAATAATGGTAGAATCTCCCTGTATCTGCAGATGCCGGCTAATTTCAAATATACCAGAGTATTAATGCAGATCCGCCTCTCCGGAAAATACTGGATCAAAATTTAAGACAACAATAAAATTTTAAAAATCAATCCATAACTTGAGTGTAAATTTTACAACACAATGGAAAAAGAAACATTTTATCATTGGGGGGGGGGTAAGAGGGCTGGACTTCTCCTTTGTCTGAAAATACTCATTTCTACTAAGAAGAAGGTGGTTAGTGTGAAATTTATGTGATTCATATACCAGATTTTTTTTATTTGAATAACAAATCGTATTTAAGAGTTTTAAAGGGCCCTAAAAAGGAATCTAATTGGCTTTTTCATAGCAAAAATTTACTTGTCCTACTTTACTGGAAGCATCTTTTGGTTTTTGTAATTTATGATACATTAAAACTCATTTAATACAATAGTTAATATTTCTTCTTATTCCACACATAAAAACTAAACGATTGATATATAGGAACCTAAAAATCCGGGAAAAGCAAAGTTAAAAATAAATAACACAAATTTTGTTTGAAATTATATATACTTATTTTTTCTCGGCTCCTAGAGCCCATTCGAAAGAACGCCGGGACACCTGTATAATATTTTTCGATGTAATATCACCAAAAAAAAAATTGGTTGAAATCAGTGATCCACAGACTGTATCATCTCCTTGTTAGTGCACTAATCATCTCCTTGTGATTAAAGGGCGGATTACTGTTTTATATAAAATTAGTTTATTTTTTGTATCCAGTTGTGAATATCTATTAAAATATGGTGACATTTTGCTGATCATGTTTTTTGCTTTATTGCACTTGTTGTTAATATGTTGAGTAAAATTTAGGGATCTATCAAGTTCTAGGCCTAAATATTTCACGGAACTGGACCGAGGAATCTGTACTTCTTTTATGTGTATATTGTAGTTTATGCGTGGTCTTCTTTTAGTAAAAATAATTGCTTGTCATTTTATCATTTATTTTTATTTTCCATTCTTCAAAATACTTGCAGAGTTTTATGAATTGGGATTGTAACCTGTTAGTTATAGTATCGATTCTAAAAGAAGAGGTGTAAATAGCTGTATCATCTGCATATAAGGAGTATTCTATTGAAGGAATGGAAGGGAGGTCTGAGATGTATAGGCTGAATAGTGTAGGAGAAAGACAGGAGCCTTGAGGGAGACCTGCAGATAGGAAATGGATTGAGGAATGGTCATTCTTTATTGTAATGCAAAAGGATCTATTGCTAAGATATGAGTGAAGGAGGTGGATTATGTAAGGTGGGAATTTATATAAAATGAGTTTATGGATAATACCCTCATGCCATACCATGTCAAAAGCTTTTTCTATGTCTAGGAGGAGCATACCGACGTGCTTCTTTTCATTGAACGCTTTGGTAATATAGTCGGTCAGTCTGGCTAGTTGGGCTACTGTTGAGTGTTGTTTTCTGAACCTGAATTGCTCGTTAGATATCAGACTGTTTTGAGATATATGGCTTAGGATTCTTTTTAAAAGTAGTTTTTCAAAAAGTTTTGAAATTATGTTAAGTAGACTTATTGGTCTGTAACTACGAACATCTGCTGGATCTTTGTTTGGCTTCGGAATCGTTATGATGTTTGCTGTTTTCCAAGCCGTCGGGAAATATCTAAAGCGAAGCATACAGTTATACGTCTTTGTTAGGAATAAAATCATCTTTTTGCTTAATTTCTTAATGGCAATTGGAGGTATAGAGTCTGTACCGGGGGATTTTTTAGTTTTCAACTGTTTTATAACCTGTTTCACCTCTTTGAATGAGATTGAAGGGAATGTATATGGAACTGGTTCTTTGAGAAAGCTTTTTACGGATTTAATGATAGTTCGATTGTGGTTGTTGGTGCCTAGATTAGCCGAAATATTAGATGCTAATGTGAAATAGTTTGCCATAGCTTCTGCCTTCTCTATATTAGAATAGGCGAAATTGTTTGATAGTTTGATTGGAGGGATATGGTGGGGACAATTTGTTAGAATTTTGTTTATTTTCCAAAATTTTTTACTACCAGGGGACAGTTCTCTAAGAGTTTCCTGCCACTTTAAGTTCCTCCAACTGTATTTATAACGGAATTTATTTTTTATAAAAATAAAAAATTGTAGTTGGGGAGGTATGTTGTCGGGTTTGTATTGACAGGATACCTGTGGAATTGATTTTATCATGCCAGTTTTGACAGTCTCAATAAATTTATCGATGTTAAAATCTATATCGGAGTTATTTCTTATAACACGGTTAATATCTAGATTTTTATCTACGATTTTCCGGAATTTAGGAAAAAATAAATAAAACTTTATTTGCATTAAACTCAAAAAGTACATAATTTATAATGGTTTAAATCTATAATAATTTTTACGATTACTGCATTCCTTACAAAAAAATGTAATGTAAAAATGTACAATGTTAACAATTGTATTAAAAAAAATTATTAATTTATTTATGATCATAGTTATCCTTATTACAATGAGCTGAGAAGGCAAATACCAACTGCAATATTATCGGAGATAAGTAACTTTCCGATTATTTGAAAATCTGATGAAAAGTGAACATATTTCAATAGGAACCAATATAGCATCATTTATCGCATCGCATTCCCACAGATATTATTTGCTGCCGAATTAAAGTGAGAGAGATAGCAGAGGTTATGAACATGTCAAAAGAACGTGTTTGTTACATATTAAATCAACATTTAGATATGAGAAAGCTGTCTGCACATTGGATGCCACGTTTGTTCACATTGGGCCAAAAATGTGTTCGAATGAACATTTCCAACGCTCTGTTGACACAATTAATCAAAGTTTTGGTGCAGATTAATTACTGTAGATGAAACGTGGATACACCATTATACACCCGAAACAAAAATACAGCCCAAGTGGACTGCAAAGGGTTAACCGGCTTCAAAAAAAGCCAAACCTATAATTATTTCAGAAATAAATTTAGTAGTTATTCCATCAACATTATTTCATAGGCCATTTGAAATATTATTTCAGAAATAACCATTATTTAGGAAATAGCTCATTCTTGAAATAGTCATGATTTATTTCAGAAATAAATTATTCTGAGAATGCCCAGGTCTGTACTAAGTATGTTTGATATAGATAACAAAATTACTAAGTTAATTACAAAATTAATAAGTATATACACTTGATTGCATAAATAATATTATGTGATTTGAAATAATAATTATAATATATTTTTTGTTCAATTATATTTTATAGGTACAGTCAAAGCTCCTTACTCTCATAGTTCTGTGCTTAGCGGTTACAAAACATTTGTAAACAAATAAGTCTATAAGTCTATTTAATAAAATATTTAAATAAGTCTCTAAGGGGTGGAAAAAAAAAAAAAAATTATTTCTTCTGTTAGAATGGACAGTGAATCTTGTATTGTGTGATGCGCACAATGCACCACTTTTTTTTCTCGGTCACTTATAATGGTTTTTGGTTGAAAATGATATACCTAAATACATGAAAAAATTTCAAGTGGGTGTATATTTGCTAATAATGGTTCGATTTCAATGATTTGTTTTTCAGTATCAATGATTTTTTTTTTAGTAGGTAATTTATTAATCTTTCAAATTATTATGGGTTTAATCATTAAATAAATTGTATAACTTTTTCTGGACAATGTGACTATCATTTGGCAATGGAAGATAAAATAATCTTTGAAATAATAGATCAATCATTGGATTTGGTTAAGTATTAAAGAAACCACGGCATATTGGCATAAAAAATATTTTTGTGAGATAGGCAAAAGAAAACAGCAGATAAAGATAGGTATTGCTGTACAGCTGTGGTTCTTGTAGAAACTGTTTAATTTTTAATGAGTTATAAATAATTAGGAAACTACATACGAGGGTGGTCTGAAAAGTTTCCAACCTAACAAAAACTCAAAAAAACAAACAAAAAAAATCGAAAACGAAAAGTTTTCCTTTTTGTTTCCTGCAATAAGACAGACTTGAGGCATTATATTTACTGCTGCAGAGGGACACTTTAATGTTTGTAGAGGATGAGTGTGTCCAGCAACAATTTCATTTTCTCTTATGTCCTGTTTTTGTTTCCTGCAATTAGATGGACTTGAAGCAAATTTTTCTGTTATTTAAGATATTATAATCTTTGTAGAGGCTAAGAGTGCCCGACAGCAATTCAATTTTTTCTTATGTACCCTTTTCGTTTCCTGCAATTAGACAGATTTTATGCACTATATATACTGCTGTTTGAGACATTTCAATCCTTGTAGAGCCTGAGTATGCCTCTCAGCCATTTCTATTTCCTTTCCTCGTCATTTCTTCTGCGACTCATAGGTGGTACAGTCTTATATTTATTATTGTTTGAGCCATTTAATATCTTTTAAAGGCTAAAAAACTAGTCCTTAATGCGGCAGGGTGAAAGACTCTTCAAGAGTCTTGCATTTTCTTGTATGAGTGGGGGGAAAGGCTAGGTTTGGAGCTCTACTGAGTTAATGAATTTTGTAAATATTGAATAAAAGTATGCTTATATTTAAGTTGTTATTTTGATTAGTTCTTTTTTTTTTTTTTTTTTTTTGTATATATACATTTACTTTTAGTAGTATTATTCTACTGTTTAATTTATTTTTATTTATTGTACATAGATTGTGAATATGCTCTCTGAATACTAATAAAAATATTCTAAATTTATACAGATTTTAATATTTCCCATTAAATTTACGTTTAAGATGAAAACAAAAAAAGGCTGACTATCTGATCAAAATTTTGTTTTTTCTTATATCGTCATCTAAAGCCCCAAATCTGTCTAATTCCAGGTAACGAATAAGGAACATAAGAAAAAATGAAATTGCTGTCGGGCACACCTAGCCACTACAAAGATTTCAGTGTCACAAATATCAACAAATATATTGCCTCAAGTCAATTTCATGCAGGAAATGAAAAAGGGCATAATGAAAAATGAAATTGCTGTCAGGAACATTCAGTCTCTACAAAGATTAAAGTGTCTCAAACAGCAGTAAATATAATGCCTCAAGTGCGTCTAATTGCAGGAAACGAAAAGGGGGCATAACGAAAAATGAAATTGTTGTATGGCACACTCAGCTTCTACAAAGATTAAAGTGTCTCAAATAGCAGTAAATATAATACCTCGAGTCCGTTTAATTGCAGGAAACGAAAAAGAGGACATAATGAAAAATGAAATTGTTATCGGGCACACTCAGCCTCTACTAAGATTAAATTGTATCAAACAGCAGTAAATATAATACCTCGAGTTTGTCTAATTGCAAGAAACGAAAAGGGGACATAATGAAAAATGAAATTGTTGTTGGGACCACTCAGCCTCTATAAAGATTAAAGTGTCACAAACAGCAGTAGATATAAATCTTTAAGTCCATATAATTGCAGGAAATGAAACGGAGGCATAACCAAAAACAAAATGGCCTATATGCACACTCAGCTCCTACCAAGATTTAAGGGTCTCATACATCAATAAATATAAACCTTAAGTTAGTATAATTGCGGGAAACAAAACGGGGTCATAAACTGAAACTAAATTTACAGTGAACAATAGGATTTTTATCATGGTATTCCAATCCCTCTTATATCTATCAGAAAATTATTTCGGAAATAATTATGTCATTAATCCTGAAATAATTTATTTTAGAAATAATGTTCAAATTATTTCCAAAATAACTGAAGATTATTTAACAATTTATTCCGGGAACATTATTTCAAATAAATTCTGTGTAGTTCAAGCCTAGTCTATAATACATTTTTCATCTCAGAAAGAAAAATAAATATAAAAAGTTGGAAAATAAAACAATTGTATAAATGAATAAAAGTACTTAAAGAATAAAATACTTACAGTCCACATGGGATTTGCAATTTCAGAAATTTCAGGCAAACTATATTGAACCCCCTTTAGAGCTTCCTGCTTTTGAACCTCCAGCATAAAAAAATAAAACCCGTTTTTCCCAGCTTTTTGTTTTTTCTTCTGTGGCATTATTTGGTATCCTATATAACATTAAACATATTAGAGACAAATAAATAAAACTATTCATATAGTATAAATTTGTTCTAACATAAAGATAAAATCTACAATATTATAACACACTTATGTGATGACAATTATTTTAAAATTCATATCATTGATTGATCATTATAGTATTTTGGGGACTGATTATGGGTAAAATGAAAAATGTATCACCTTTAGTATCCCTACAAATTACTGATGAAATTTACATTTTCCAAGCTTTTCTGAAATTCTCAATGTCGATTATCACTACTTAACAGGACCATAATCATACTAGCAACATAATAAATTTTTAAAAATAAAATGAAGAAAAACAAGCTGAGAAACTTTTAAATAGCATCTTAAAAATAGTCATTTTATTATTAAAGAAATTATTATCTAATTGAGTAATAAAGAAGACTATTGAACAATCCTTTATTTTATTTTTTTGTCTTCCTCTACCATATGACCAATATAGGTATTTGCAGTGGTGGGACGTCATGCATGACTGTGTAACAATGCACAACTAACAAGTAAAACATTAAATTTTAACATAGCTTCCTCTTCACAACTCTTTTAAACGATCGATACTCCAGACCTTCCATCTTGTAACAAGCAGTCTTTTCAATGCTAATCTTTTTCAACTTTGATGCATAATCGGTGAAAGACAGTTTTATATATATATATATATATATATATATATATATATATATATATATATATATATATATATATAGAATTTATTTCTTTAAATAGGATTTATAATCATTTATAAATTTAATTAAAAATCAATAAATTTCATTATTGTTAAATCTTTTGTGGACCATGAAGATGATCTTGTTAAAATTTTGTAATGAACAGCTCAGTTGTTTTCTAAGTTAGCAGTTATAAATGAAAAACAGACTTTCCATTTATATATATATATATATATATATATATATATATACTTTTAATCTTTATTTCTGTTTCTTATATAGCTTCATTTTGGGCGACAAATCTTGATATGAAAAATAATTTCATTCTGGGACTGAAGTTCCCTAAGAATAATAACAAAGATAGAGAAATATGTACATCAATCTCATCAACAAATCTTCTGTCACTTTTTATGGTATTTTTAACAGAACCATGCAGTTCCAACTAACAATGTAAAATTAAAAATTATTTGGTATAATTAATTACAAAACTCTTTAAACAGAGAGGACACAGTATGTGGGTCACCCATCAATTCAAACAAATTTTTTTTCGGTGATACTACATTGAAAAATATTGGACACATATCCTGGCATTCTTTCCAATGAACCCTAGGAGCTGAGAAAAATATTTTATATAATTTCAAACAAAATTTATGTCATTTATTTTTGCCTTTGTTTGCCCTGATTTTTAGGTTACTATATATCAATTGTTCTGGTTTTGTTTTTGTTTTTTGTGCAGAATAAGGAAAATATATTAAATATTGTATTAAATGAGTTATAATGTATCATAAATTACAAAAACAAAAAGGTATCTCCAGTAAAGCAGGGTAAATTTTAGTTATGAAAAAGCAAATTAGATTCCTTTTTAGGGCCATTTGAAATTCTTAAATACAAACAGTTATATAAATTTAAAAAAAAACTTTTAGTACTTGATTTTCTTGTATGAATTTTTTTTAGGCCGTAACAAAAGCATTCATAACTCCTCAGGACTTTCATCAAATTCAACTTTAGTATAACCATTGGAAAGATGAATTAATATTCTTCCAATTTCCATTGATAACTTTTGGACTTCATTTTTTTTCAAGCTAGAAATCATGGAAAACTTCTAACCCTTTTTCATTTTATATCTTTAGTTTTAACTTCTTTATGAATGTTGGGTCTACACCATTTCGTGTAGCATTCAGAGGCCTAAATCCGTATGAATTTTCATGTGGATCAGTGAAGCCATTCTTAACTTATCACAAATTTTGTGGTTGTTGACAAAATTTCGAAAGATCCAAAACTAGGGAAAAATTTCAAGTAGGAATGTCAAAAAAAATGTGTATTTAAGGGATTTTCGAAGTGTGGAAAACGAAAATCAACTTTGTTTCTCACTAAAAAAATATTTAATCCCACATTGCTACATCAGCTGGTCCAAATTGTGCACATTTATTAAAAACCAGTCTGGTTTCTAGAGTAAATAATTTTTTAGGGAGAAACAAAGTTATATTAGTTTTTCACACTTCAAAAAACCTTTAAATACAAATTTTTATAGCAATCAAAAGATTAAAATTTTTGATCCTTCTAATTTTCATAAAAAACCATAAAACTTGGATAATCTTAAAATGACTCCACCAATCCATACAAAAATTAATAGAGATTTAAAGCTCTATATGCTACATAAAATGGTACAAAATCTACTTCCATAAACAATTTAGAATCAAAAGTTAAAAAACAAAGATCATTGGGAAGTTTTTCTTAATTTCTAATATGGCTTTTGATCGAGTCTGGCACCCAGGACTGCTTTACAAACTCCGTAAATTCCTACACCCTACCTACTTCCTCATTATCCGTTCCTATCTAACTGATAGATCCTTCAAAGTAAATTATAATAATGCCTATTCATCCCTTTTTTCCTAGTCCGCTGGTGTTCCTCAAGGTAGTATCCTAGGTCCTATCCTTTACACAGTTTATACAGCTGATATCCCAACCCATCCTAACACTGTTATTGCCACATATGCCGATGATACATGTGTTCTATCAATTAATAACGACCCTACAATTGCATCCCAAACCCTTCAATCACACATCACAAACCTTTAAGAATGGTTTCAAAACTGGAGGATCAAAATAAATTCCAATAAATCCCATCAAATCACCTTTACCCTTCGTCGTAAACCTATGTCCTCTTTTGTCCTATAGTATCCTTTAATAATACCCCACTTATCCCTGTTGAACGAATTTGATACCTTGGACTCCACTTAGACAAACGTCTAGCTTGGAATCCTCATACCAGACTGAAACGACAAGAAACAGCTCGACGTTTCCGACTACTCCAGCACTTACTAGACAAACGCTCTAAGCTCCCAGTCAATTACAAAAGACTCATATACATGACTACAATAAGACCTATTTGGACTTACGGAATTGAGCTCTGGGGCTCCACTAAGCCATCGAATTCCTCTCGCATCCAATCCTTACAATCCAAAATCCTTCGTAAAATCCTCACAGCTCCTTACTTTGTCACAAACAAAATCATCCATAACGACCTTAATGTTCCTTATGTTTCTGACCTGGCCCAATCCAGATACCTTTCCTTCCATAATAAACTTCAGAACCATCCTAAGCCTCTCGTTTCTAACCTTGCTTCCTTTTCGATACCTGACAACCCTCCGAGGCGTCTGAAAAGAAGATGGCCTCGAGATCTCCTTTTGTAAATACATTTTTAGAGTGCTACCAGTGGGTAGTTTCTCACCAAATGATTTCATGCTATTATATTCTATTGTACACATTTACTGAATGTATTTTTACTTGTAATACAGTTGTAAATATCATCAATAAATAAAAAAAAAAAAAATTCTAATATAAAAAGGAATGAATTATAAAAGTTATCGATGTGGGCTGGAAGGGTAGTAATTCAGATTTCCAACAGTGGTACTAATGTTGAATTTGGAGGAAATCCTCAAAGAAAATAAACTATTAAATTTTGCATTTATATAAAAATTTGTATTTAAGAGTTTTAAAGAGTCCTAGAAAGGAATCTAATTTGCTTTTTCATAACAAAAATTTACTTGAACTACTTTACTGGAAGCACCTTTTGTTTTTTGTAATTTGTGATACATTATAACTCATTTAATACAATAGTCAATATTTTTTTCTTATTCTGCACAAAAAAACAAAACCATAGATATATTGTAACCTAAAAAAAACGGGCAAAGCAAAGGTAAAAATAAATAACATAAATTTTGTTTGAAATTATATAAAATTTTTTTTTTTTCGGCTCCTAGGACCCATTGGAAAGAACACCCGGGCACCTGTCTAATATTTCATGATACAGTAGCACCAAACAAAAATTTGGTTGAAATCAGTGGACCTACTAAAAAATTGGACCCACAGATTGTATCTTCTTGTTAGTTAGTTGATGATTTTAAAGTTTTTTTTTTAGTGATCTGAACAAGGATTTTAATGCTTAAAACTTTCTCTGTTCCTTTGCCACAAAACTGTGTAAATTGGTCTATGGTCCAGTAGTTTTTGTAGTTAGCAGTTACAATTAAAAAATTGGTAATCTTATAAAATAATAAGCTATCAAATTAAATAATAAATCAATTTTATGGTCCTCCTTACTGTAATTATTATAGGTTAAACATTTTTTAATATGTATCCAACTAATGTTATACACGCTAAGAAAGGTAAACATTTTGCATTATTTTTTTTCTTGTATTCCAGAGGTCTCCGAACTTTTTGGCTTGCAGACCACATTGAGATCTCCACTTAAGTCTCGCAGGCCAAGGTTAGTGATGCAAAAAAAAATTGTGTTCTATAAATTCACTTCGGTTGTGAAATGAGCTTGCTAAGAGAACAAAAATCATGCAATAAATATTTTAGTAACTTCTTGTGAGAGAAATTTTGATATTTTAAAAATGTTTTTTTAAAATTTTATCAAGTAATCAAATAAACTTTCATGGGCCGCATTGGATGTGCTTGCGGATCTGGCCCACCGGCAGTAGTTTGGAGACTCCTTTTGTAGGCTATATGTTATTACCATTTTGTACAAAAATGTATCAATTTTCATAACATCAGAAGAAACTCCTCAAGATGCATAATCAGTTATAACAGTTATATGGGGTGAGGGAGGACACTTTGAAGGTTGATCCATTCTCCACACTAAGTGTAGAACATACATTATTCTTTTTACCACTAATAAACCGTTTATGAAAAACAATATATCAACAGCAACACTGCAAAAGCCTTCAAGTACAATTTTATAAGAAAGAGTGGTTTATGTTCAATCTTGGTTTCCACGCATATTTAGAAATACTAACAAACAAAGT